TTGTCTTAAGTCACAAGCTCTATAAGCATATATGGATGGTGGCTACCATTTGAATCCAGGACTGGTGTTTCGTCCTATTTTTGGACTCATCCGTTGAATGTACTTGCATTTCACTTGTGTAGTAAACTATTCTATTTCAATTTATCCTTTAATTCATTATAATTTTAACAAATAGAATATACTACTCAACTAATTTCTATCAAAGCGTAGTTTCAATAGTTGAGATCATCAGTCAATTGGAGCTAGACCACCACAGAAAACCTGAAAGTACCGGACGACTGTTTCGTCCTATTGTGCGACTCCTCATCAGTGCGCATCCACATAGTTTAAAAAATTTAACTTACTTCGTTCTACAGATAGTTTTCTCACAACATTCAACGGTATTATTCTCTAACTTAAACTAATCCATGAAATTGAGTAATACATAAAGCATTGTCATCAGTAAGTTACTATCTCACAACAGACCCGGTTGAAATCCACTTGTCACTGCTTCTCCCTAGAACTCCAGGAAACACCTCTTGAATCCAGTCACTATTGAGCATATGTTGATTATTATCAGAAGGGATTTTTGTGGAGATTTTAGTAATTTCAATGTTTGAGATCATGAGTTAATTGAAACTAGATCATCATGGATAACCTGGAAGCACTGGATGGTTGTTTCGTCGTATTGTAAGACTCCTTATCAGTATGCATCCATATAATTTAACAAACTTCACATATTTTGTTCTAAAGATAGACAAAATGATTCATATTACATGAATTGAATTGGAGTTAAATAGTTTTATATTGTTTATCAAATATTCAATGACAATAATATACACAAATAAATCCATAGTTTCACATGTCATTAGCTTATTTACAAAAATGATTCTTATCTTAATCATAAACAATATTCAGATTAAAAATGTTATTGATAAATTTGTTTTGTTTTATGGTAGAATTATACTTAACCTTATTTATCATTGATAAATTTAATTGTTTATCTGAACAAACTGTTTCAATTTAGATATTTGAATGATGAAACCTATAATCTATGGATCAACTTCGAGCAGTGCCAAAATGTCTTTGAGAATGTTTTTATTGTAGATCATCGACTTAGATGAATTAATTTCAATCATTAAAATCATGAATCAGTTGAAACTAGACCACCATGGAAAACCTGAAAGCACTGGACGGCCGTTTCGTCCTATTGTGGGACTCCTCAGCAGTGCGCATCCACGACCTCACCACCTGCGAGATTCAAACCCAGGATCTACTGAAGTTAGACATGAACACCGTTGGATGCCAACTCAGTGATCTAGTGGTTAAGTGCTCGCGCGCGAAACTAGTAGGTCCTGAGTTTGAATCTCGCAGGGGGCGACGTCGTGGATGCGCACTGCTGAAGAGCCCGCAATAGGACGAAACGGCCGTCCAGTTCTTCCAGGTTTTCCATGGTGGTCTAGCTTCAACTGACTCATGATCTTAATCATTGAAATTACTACAATCTCCACAAAACCCCTTTAGATGAATTATGTTGAATAATTGTCGACCTACTCACTTTAGACGGGAATGGTATGAAAAACCAGTTAACGTCGATGTCGAACTTCGTGGTCAGCATCTCATGTGGATTGCCTCTTTAACGTATCAAAGTACTATGGCTGCTTTGAAAACCATATAACACAAAATATGTTATTACGGGAAAATATTAGTAAGAATGAGTAAAAAGAAGATGGCGAGACAACCAGCGCGTGCTCCAGTCCATGGCATACGATCAATTGATGCGCGTTGGTTGTCCTTGACCATGACAGGGATTGATGATCTGTTTGATATTCAGTGAATCAACTGCAGGATGATTCGGCTAAGGCTCAGTGACATTTTACTGGCCCTACATCATCTACTGACTAGGTCTAAATGAGGGTTTTAAACCTGTGTGAAGGATAAGGATAGGGATTTGCATCATGAACTGACATCAGCTGAAATATCATGACGATATTAAATCAAATGGATAATTGAACTTCGCTTCAAAATCCAAGGTCTTTTATCATAAATCTGATTGGTTCATCCATAAATTATAGTCTGGCCGATGTGTTTTTAAATTTCAGTCTAAGACATTGTTCCAGTTATAAGTTTTGACATCTAATGTCGCGATAAGATGTGTATCCCTAATATGATGGACAGTTTTATTCAGCATTACCTTCCGTTCTGATCCAATATGATGATCATTCAGTGTACTATTCGTTTTTGTTTCCCCGTATGATATCATGAAGACGTCAACATCTGAAGGGAAGTAAGGGATACAGTGGATAGCTAGGATGCAATTTCATGATCTAGACTTCGCAGATGATCTGCCTCTTCTATCGCATACGCAACAACAAATGAAGGAGAAGACAACCAGTGTAGCTGCAGCCTCAGCAGCAATAGGTCTCAATATACACAAAGGGAAAAGCAATATTCTTCGGTACAACACAGCATGTACCAATCCAATCACAATTGACGGAGAAGCTTTGGAAGATGTAAAAACCTTTACATGTTTGGACAGTATCATCGATGAACACGGTGGATCTGATGCAGATGTGAAGGCACGGATTGGCAAAGCAAGAGCAGCATATCTACAACTGAAGAATATCTGGAACTCAAAACAATTAGCAACCAACACCAAAGTCAGAATTTTCAATACAAATGTGAAGACAGTTCTACTGTATGGGGCGGAAACCTGGAAAACTACGAAATCCATCGTCCAAAAGATACAGGTGTTTATTAACAGTTGTCTACGCAAAATACTTCAGATCCGCTGGCCGGACACTATTAGCAACAACCTACTGTGGGAGAGAACAAATCAGATCCCAGTGGAGGAAGAAATCAGGAAGAAGCGCTGGAAGTTGATAGGACACACATTGAGGAAAGCACCGATCTGCGTCACAAGACAAGCCCTCACATGGAATCCTCAAGGTCGAAGGAGGAGAGGAAGACCAAAGAATACATTACTCCGAGAAATGAAGATAGATATGAGAAAAATGAACAAGAATTGGATGGAACTAGAAAAGAAGGCCCAGGACAGAGTGGGTTGGAGAATGCTGGTCGACGGCTTATGCTCCATTGGGAGTAACAGGCGTAAGTAAGTAAGTAATGATATTTTCTTCTGTATAATATACGATATTCTTGTATTCCATTGATCTGAACTATGCTCAGTAACTGATTTTTTATAACTGAGTATAAACCAGTGTATTTTAGACTATGAGAATCATCATCGTTATCGTCGTCGTCATAGTGCTTTGTGTGTTCTTACTTTTGTGTCGTGGGAATTGTAGAGGTGTTTGAACATAAGATTACAGAATGTTATAGTTAAATCTGAGAACCATACAGTAAATACTTCATTTGTAAAATATCAATCAATCGTTTCAAAGTTCATGGTTCATTTGATTACACACTAATCATTCTCCGTTCTCGTTCTTTTTTCTTCTTCTACTGCCAGACATTTCATTTTCGATTGATCATACACATACTACTTATATCTGTCAATATCAGTAGCACAGAGCATATTTTATTATGTGTAAAGCATCACTATTCGTTAAATGTATGAATGATTCAGTCAAGAACATTATTTTCATTTCAAGCTATAAATTTCAATGTACTTACATTTCTTATTGAAGCAAATAAGAATGTGTTACACTGAAATGTTCATAAAGCATATATGTATAAAGTACTAAACGATCGAAATGAAATTATGCTTATATATTCAGTTCTCATTTGTTTTAAGTTAAGCGTTCGCGCTCGAGACTGAAGGCACTGGGCTCGAATCCCGCGAGAGAGATCGTGGATGCGCACTGTTGAGGAGTCTCACAATTGGACGAAACGGCCGTCCAGTGCTTCCAGGTTTCTAGCGGTGGTCTAACATCAATCGGTTCATGATCTTAATCAAAAACCCATTTATTTAATTGGATGCATGTGCCCGAAAAACCTAGACATTGTAGTTTTATTCAACAACAACAGCAACAACAACAACAAAAATGGGTATATTCACACCTAATGTCGTCTATATTACTTAGTTACGCCTGTTACTCCTCATGGAAGAGAATAAGTCGCCCACCAGCATTCTCCATCTAACTCTGTACTCGACAATCCTTTCCAATTGTTTCCATTTACTATGCATTCACTGCACTAGGAATTGATAGCAGATATTGAAAGAATGAAGAGTAATTGGAAACAACTGGAAAAGATTGGCTATGATAAAGTTCGATGGAAGATCATGGTGGGCGGCCTATGATTCTCCGTGAGAGTTAGCGAGCTTAAGTAATCACTAGTGAGCACATGGTTTCAAAAATGTCGTTAGATTTTCATTGAATAAATCTGTCTATTCATCTATCTATTCACACTTCTATCTATCTATCTATCTATCTATCCATCTATCTATTTATCCACACTATCTATCTATCTATCTATCTATCTAACTATCCACACATCTGTCTATCTATCTATCTATCTATCTATCTATCTATCTATCCACACATCTATCTATCTATCTATCTATCTATGTATCCACAAATCTATCTATCTATCTTTCTATATTTTTACACTTCTATCTATCTATCAATCCACACTTATATCTATATATCTATCTACCCACACATCTATCTATCTATCCATTTACACCTCTATCTATCTATCCACACTTTTATCTCTCTATCTATCTATCTACCCACACATCTATCTATCTATCTATCTATCTATCTATCTATCTATCTATCTGTCCACACATCTAACTATCCACACATCTACCTATCTATCTACCTATTTATCCACACATCTACCTATCTACCTATCCACACATCTATCTATCTATCTATCTATCTATCTCTCTATCTATCTATCCCTACATCTGTCTATATATCTATCCATACATCTATCCATATATCCTTACATCTATGTATCTATCTATCTATCTATCCGTCCCTCTGTCGATCTATATGCTAAGTACGGACATGTTAATCGAGTATTTCATTCGACCTATTTAAAGTATAAATACTATCTCATAATTTCATTAACAATTAATTCATTAGTGATTAAAAAGATGATAGAAACTTCAACAGCAACAACAACACCACCACCAACAACAACAACACCGCCACCAACTCAAACAACACCAACCTCAACAACAACAACAACAACAACCATCAAAGTTATTTCAGCTGGTCTACCAAGAACTGGAACAAATAGTATGAAAAAAGCATTAGAAATTATTTATTCAAAACCATGTTATCATATGTATGAAATTATATTTAAAAGACAATCTGATATATCAAAATGGCAACAGCTAATTGATGAAAAACATAAACCAATATCAGATAAAACAAAGATCTATAATGGTTTAAATGAATTATTAAATGGTTATGTAGCTACAACAGATCTACCATCATGTGGTTTCTACAAGGAACTAATGAATATGTATCCTAATGCTAAGGTAAATGTGAATGTTAATATTTCATTTTGTTTCTTCTAATTTCCTACTAGATACTAAGTATTTCATCATGTATTTTGCTATAGTTCTGAATAAGATTTTGATGGAGTTTTGTTCTCTGAGCTGGATGGTTTAGTCGTGGAGCTTTTATAGTTCTTCTGAACGATATCATCAGTAGAAGAACGATGAAAGCTCCACGACCAAACCATCCAGCTCAGAGAACAAAACTCCATCAAAATCATCCACCTGAGCTACAAATCTTCACCACCATCTCGAATAAGATTTTGGATTTACTTTAGAGTAGAATGATTTCATCAGTCAGCAAAAGCCCTGCTACGGCCGAGAGTGGGGATAGTCAGCTCCCCCTCTCGAAATGCCCTCATATGACCACGTACATACAACCACTGTCACGGAAGTCATATTTACTGCCTTCTTGCGGTGGGGTCGTTGTTTAAGGAGCATGGGGGACCAAAAGCGAATGTCAGGTACTTTAACCGGGTTGATGGATACGGAGGATTCATCAACGGTAGTTGAAAAACCCTAATCCCAAATCAATAGTACACATGGGCTCCAGTATCCTGAAGGAATAAATGGTATATGAACCAATGAGTGGTCACCGGCTATTGTCGGACTTCATCTCCTGACGTTGCTTCACTGCCTCGTGGATCACACCTTCGGGTCGAAGACTTCGGTTTTTGTTCGCTAAGAAAACAACATGTTTCGGTTTAGGCACCCGGAGAGTATCATGGCCCTCACACAAATCGAATGATTTATGTGGCGCATATCTATTTAGTGCCTTCTTGTACCAATGTGTGTTTAAATAAATAATTAAATAATAATAAGTTAGAACATGACTAGTGAATATTAATATACAAACGTTAGTTGGTATAAACGAGGAAAAAAGAGAAGTGAACATTTATATTTTCCTAATTATATAACTGAAAATCTATGCATAAAATGTATATAAAGTTCTTACTTTATAAGTAGTGAACATGATATCAAGGACCCATAAAAGGATTGTCTAACAATTAATAATCGCTAGTGAGAAGCAGTGACCAGTGGATTTCAACGGGGTCTGTTGTGAGATAGTAACTCACTGATGACAATGGTGGATGTGTAAATCGATTTCGTGGATTAGTTGAAGTTAGACACTAATGTTGTTAGATGTCGGTCGGCCCAGTGATGTGGAGGTTAAGCCTTCGCGTGCGAGACCGATAGGTCCTGGGTTTAAATCTCGTGATGTGGGATCGTGGATGAGCGCTGCTGAGTAGTCTCACAATAGGATGAGACAACCGTCCAGTGCTTCCAGGTTTCCGATGATGGTCTAGCTTTAAATGACTCATGATCTCAACTATTAAAATTAATAAATCTTTTGCTCCGCATTGTATAGCGTGATTCTCATGGAAAGTTGGTTAATTATCATGTGAATACAGAATAGAGTGGTTTACATGTTAAAGGTTCGCCCATGAAGCCGAAGGTCGTGAGTTCGAGTCCCGTGTGCGGGATCTTGGGTGCGCACTGCTGAGGAGTCCTGTACCAGAGCGAAACGACCGTCCAGTGTTTGCAGGTTTTTCATGGTAGTCTAGCTTTAATCGACTTATAAATTTAACTATTAAAAATAATTTTTGCTCCTATTACACATTCACTAACGTTCAATTTTCAGCATAGTTTAATCCTAATTATCACATTTGCTTACCTAATTATCATTCCGTTTGCATGAACATGAAATCATAGATAGTTGTATTGATGATCGACTCCCTCAGATTTGTATATGTGTGTTGAGGCCTACTGATTCAGAGGCTTCCACTACAATGGCTGCCTTAACCTGGATGGGATGGAAGGAACAGGTCATATACACAGTTCAAATCATCTAACCTCTTTCAAGCTGTCCGTTGTATTCAAGCTTTCTCTTAAATATCATGGTCTCCATGATCCAGTCGGCCACCAGGAGAAAGAGAAGAGGGGAAATTAGGCAGCCTTGCCTGACTCAGCTCTTTGCTTGGAATGCATCTATTAGCTGTTCTCTATGCACCACTGATGTGTGAACGACGTTTCGTGGTATCGACCACAGTGTGATATCTCTATAGTTCTCACACTTGATGAAATCTTTCTTTAGTATCTTGATGAGATATCCTACTTTACAGTCTGATGGCACTTGCTCTTCCGCCCAAATCTACCTGAATAGAACATGAAGAATATTTGCAGTGATTTCTATGTCTGAGTTTAGTGCTTCAGCCTGTATGTTGTCAGTTCCTGCTGTTTTCCTACCCTTGATTTGTCTGATGATCATGTTGATTTCTTTGATCGTTTGTGGGGTAACATACATATGAAGGCCTGTGTGTGCTAGTCCAATTTCCGGTGTGATCAGTGTGGATGAGCTACTGAAGAGTTCTTCAATGAGCTCTACTCATCTGTTCTCCTGTTCTTGTATTGCAGTAATCGCCTTGCCTTCGTTATTTTGACTGATTGCTCTGGTCTTCAATGCTTTCTCGCTAGTTTCTTGAATTTGTCATATGATTGTGTAATATTTTCTTTTTTTCAGCTTTTTCCACTGTCACTTAAAGGTTTTACAATTGATTTTCATTGTCGGCTCTAATGCCCTCCATCTTTCTCTTCTTTATACCTGAGCATTTGATTTCCAACTTAGCTTTCATTACTCTTGTTTGACTGTTGTCTATTAGTGTCTTCTTGTCCTTCCTTTTTTTACTCCTGACCAAGGTTACGACACATATCCATGCCTCATGATGATGCTTGCAGAGGCCGAGAACCTCCTGGCAAGTTGAAGTTAGTGCTTCTTTGATCTCGTTCCAGTTGTTCTCTATAGTATTTTCCTCTTCTCTGAGTAGATCTTGTAAGGGTTGGAGTCTGTTGTTGAGAACTAACTTGACTTCGTTGCGTTTGTCAGTATGTAGAAGGAAGGCTGTAATAAACTAGTGTAACACAATTTCTTCAGTTTTTTATTTTCATCTCAGCAATCATCATGTGGTAATCTAAATGCATTTAGGCCTCTCTCATTGTTCATACGTCTTCCTTTGATATTTTGAATGTTGTAGTGATGCATATATGAACGATCTGGCTATCTGTAGTGTGTAGTGGTGTGATTCATATAGCTTTGTGTATGCAGCTGCGTAAGAATAAAGTGCATGTAAATTTGCGAATCTCTCGCCGTTCTCATTTCTCTCTCCCAATGCGTGTAATCCCCTGTAATCTTCATACACGATGTAGTCTATTCTGACTGTGGCGTTTAGAACTCCCATCAGGATGATCATTCTCTTTCATGGGAGAATCTCCTCGATCAATGGGAGTCTCTTATAAAAAATGATGCTTGTAATCTTCGTTGTTATAATTAGTGGGCGCATAGCACTAGATAACATTTTATTGTGATCATCTTCTTCTTTGTTTTTTTAAAGATGTTTTGATGATTCAGGATTCCAGAATTCTTCATTCTATATGAGTTTGTCACACTTCTTAGAACATTATCAGTTATAAATCCTTATTTGTTCATTTATTTTAAAAGTTGACATTTATTTATCCAGACAATGTTTGTGATATCCTCATTAGTTAATCAATGATTTGACGCTAAAATCATGTTTGCCTAGTTCATAGAGCCGTTAAACAAGAAAGACATGAATCTCTCAAGGTAACTAATAGACTTTGCTAACAATTGCTACGGTTCTCTATCAAGATCTCAAATCTATTCAATTCTTTTGATTGAGATCATGAACCGATTGATGTTAGACTATCATTGAAAACCTGGAAGCACTGGATGGCCATTTCGTCCTAGTATGGGACTCCTCAGCAGTGCGCATTCACGGTCCCCGCCCGCGGGATTCGAACCTAGGGCCTTCAGTTTCGTGCACAAACACTTAACCTACTCGACCACTGAGACGTCATCCAATGGTGTTAGTGTCTGACATCAACCAATCCACGAAAGTGCGTAACCATCTTCCCTTGTACTGTCAGTCAGTCAGTCAGCTGCAACGTAGGACCAGGCACGTATATGCATCGGTCCAAGTTGCCATACCGCATTAGCACAACAAGATGAACACCGGATTTATAGGAGTAGTTAATTCAGTGGTGGTAATATATAGAAGAAAGAGTGTGTATAAGGAGATAGTACAGGAAGATAGAATTAGTTCCTAGAAAGAAAGATTTGAAGTGATTTTAATCTCTTAATTTAAGGAAGACAGAGAGTGTATACACCGACGCCATTGTGATCGATTCTGAGCCATGTCACCAAGAGTCTCCAACCATTGGTTACGATAGTCACGCGGACCCCAACCAGGCAGTCTGAATCTCCCAACATGGCTCAGACCAGAAGTTAGTGACTTCAAGCACTGATGCCACGTTTTGGTTTGGCCGCCCCTAACTTTCTTCCAATTATCCCCTGCACTAGTCAGCATTGCGCGTCGTGGTAATCGGTGTTCAGGCATACGCAACACGTGGCCCAACCATCTCAGTCAATGAAGACTCATAACCTCATCAACTGATTTACCATCATTCCCTAGTACCCTGCGTCTAACCTCACTATTACTTACCCGGTGATCCCAGCAGATACCCGCAATATTTCTAAGGCACCTGTGGTCAAATACTAGTAACTTACGAATATCTTCCACTCTTAAAGGCCATGTTTTGCAGCCGTATAGAAGGACGGAACGAACTGCCGCGCAGTATACTCGTCCCTTAATTGATAGACGGATATCCCGCCTTCGCCATAGATGACGTAAGTTGGCAAAGGCCAAGCGAGCTTTTCGAATCCGTGCTGAGATTTCGTCAGACACCAACCCATTAGGGCTGATCAGACTTCCAAGATAAGTGAAGTTGTCAACGCGTTCGACTACTTCACCCCCTATACTTAGTTCAGGTGTTGATGCAGACCAGTCCTGAAGCAACAACTTGCATTTAGAGGGAGAAAAGCCCATCCCAAACATTCTAGCATTGTTGCTCAGTGCTACCAAAAGACTCTGCATTTCATCAGCGTCTTCACCAAACAGGACTATGTCATCTGCGTATTCTAAGTCAATAAGTGGACCTCCTGGTAAGAGATCAATGCCCGAGAAGTCAGTCGATGAGAGCGTACTGAGGTAGATACCTGTCTCTACCCAACACGGATTAGCTCCACTGATCACGGCTTCTCACTAGAACTCCAAGAACTCTCTCACGAAGCTAGTCACCAGTGAGCACACATGTTAATTATCATTATTAGGGTTGTGGAGATCATTATTCACTTGTATATATATAAATATATATATATATATATATATATATATATATATATATATATATTGTTGTCAATCTCATTTATCTTTTAGGTTGTATTAACCATACGTGATAAATATGATTGGTTATATAGTTTACGTAAAGTTGTATTACCCAGATCTACTGATCCATGGAAATTTAAAATAGAAGAAGGTGATAAAGTATTAGGTTTAAATTCAGAATTTTATAAAATGAGTGAAGATTCATTAAAATTAGCATTTGAAAATTATTATATTAATTTAGATGATGATCATATTCTACTTAAATATTATGATCAATATAATCAATTAATTCAAAAGATTGTACCATCGGAACGTCTTTTAATACATAATCTTGGTGATGGTTGGGAACCATTATGTAAATTTTTAAATGTTGATATACCGGCAGGTATATCATATCCTTGTTTAAATTCACATTATCGTATGACACAATTAACGGAACAATTAATTGAACATAAATCTTTAGATGATATAATACATAAGTTTCCTGAATTGATATAAAATGATGATATAATTGTTCATTGATATGAATTGTAATAAAATAATTCAATATTGTAAAGGTCTTTTTGATGATATGAATTAGTTAGTCAGTCAGTCAGTCAGTCAGCAACAACGTAGAATTTCGTACGTACGTACGTACGTAAGTACATCAGTTCGAGTTGTCATAACCATATTAGCTGTTGTCCATTTAAATCCCATAATGACTGAGGAAGTAAAAGTAATAAGTAATAATTGAAAACATTTTGGGTATGAAGATGTTATTCAATGAATGAAATGAATTTGAAATGAGACATAAAAGAACATGAAGAATTTAGAAGATTAGAATTTGGGAGAACATAAAGGAATGGATGAACTTGTGCTATTACAAACGATTTTCAAACATGTTATTCAAAGTCTTTAACCATCAGTTGCTATTGTCTCTTGGATATTAACCAGACAGTCTGATTATACGAATGGTTATATTTTTATTAGAATGGGAATTTGTGTAGTAATTTCAATGGTTGAATTCATGAGCTAATTCAAGTTAGATCCCCAATGAAAATCTGGAGGCACTAGACGTTCATTTCGTTCTAACGCTAAACCGAGGGTCCTACGTTCGAGTCCCGCATGTGGATAGTGAATGTTTATTGTTGAGGAATTTTGATGTAAGGACGAATTGGATATTCGGTGCTGGAATATTCCCCATGTGCCCAAACCGAAACAGATGGTTTTCTTAGTGGGCCACACCCGGAGCCTTCGACCTAAAGGTCTGATCACAAAGCAGTGGAGCAACGTTACGAGATGCAGTCCAATTGTAGCAGATGACCAACAATAGGTTCATATACCATTTGTTCTTTTAGGATACTGGAGACCGTGTGTATCATTAGTTTGGAATCAGGGTTTTCCAACTACCCTAGGTGTGTGCTCCATATTCATCAACCTGGTTAAAGCACAGGACATTCGCTTTTCGTCCTCTCCATTTCGTAAACAACAGTAATGCCGCGAAAAGGCAGTTAGTAGGACTTCCCTGTCAGTGGTTGTGTGCATGTAATCGTATAAGAGTATTTTGAGAAGGAGAGCTAACTCTCCTCAATCTCGGCCGTACCAGTGCATTTGGAGGCATATGCACATCCTTTGCGGATTGACTCGCTTTGGTTATTATATTACAAGATTTTATGGAATAGATGTACATTTCTTTCTGTTTATGATTTATTAATTCATTGCATCACCGAACATCTCAGGATTGCCATTCACACTAACAGTCGAATTTAGTAACCCTTATTTGAACTGTCTAACATAAGTTCAGATAGGCACTCACTAGTGTTTTCGTATTTTTTTAAGTTGTCAATATTTTTAACTGAAAGATATTGTATTCAAGTGTCTAAGTAAACATCAATTCTAAGATTCAGATACATTCCAACTGACGAGCTCCGACTAAGACGAAACATACGTCCTCTACTACACTTCTAAGTACATTTCATTTGCATTTATAGAAACATATTCAAATGATTGCATATTATTAGTTGTGTAATGTACAATCCTATTATTGCTTGATTCTTTGAATGTAAATACATGAGTTTATCTCTATAATCTAATCATTAGTAACTCATTGAATTAGATCGAAGCTCATGGTTCACCATAGATTCCATGAAGCCCTTATCATTTTGCTTGAGATCATGAACCGGTTGATGTCAGACCACCATTGGAAACCTGAAATCACTGGACGGCCATTTCGTCCTATTGTGGAACTCTTCAGAAGTGCGCACCCATGATCCCGCTCGCGAGATTCGAACCCAGGGCCCTCAGTCTCGCGCATGAACGCTTAACCTACTGAACCACTGAGCCGGCATCTAATGGTGTTAATGTCTAACCTCAACCAATCCATCATTTTGTTTAAGAACTACATTATCTGGATGTAATAGATATAGCAAATTGATTATTCATATTAACACTCGAACCTAATACCTTTCACTTCCAACACTAAGAAGTTATTTATTAAGCTATTGAATTTAGTGACTGAGTAAATTGATGAAATAGTTTACTTCTTATTGATTGTAGATATCATTACTAAGGTTTGATTTGATCATTTTGAATAAATTGAGCATTGGATAGATTATTATAAATAAATAAATCAATGATAAATCTTATAAGCAAAGATGGTTAGTGCCTAGCAGTGAAATCTAGGATGCGCATTTCGTCCTATTTGGGACTCATCAGCTGGATGTACCTGGATCTTAGGATTGAGATTTCACTGCTAGCCATTATTCATCTTTGTATAATTAAAATAACCCTTAATGTCATTGAATAAGAAAAAGAGAAATCAACGAAGAAAATTATCTATTCTCGACAAAATCATTTACTAACGTACTAATCAAGGGAGGTAAGGAAGAACAGAATTGATGGGTCAAATGAATACTCCAATTGATATAGCATATGAAGAAAACCGACAAACAACAAAGGTCATAATAATAAACTGAATTATAATCAAGTAAACTTGTATAAGGTAATAATAATAACTCATCAGATTCACTTGGTATTGTTTGGCTTGTATCTTCCCATTGAGGTTTAAGACACTGCAATTGATCAGTCTGTTATTGGCATATGTGTATACTGTGTGTATGCCTCGATATTGCCATAATTGACAAGCATTTTGTGGTGTAAGCAATGATGGATAGTGGCTAGCAGTGGAATCCAGTTTGACGCACGTTTCATCCTATTTGAGACTCGTCAGCCGGATGTACCCGCATCTCAGACTTGTCGTTCACTCTGGAACTCAAACCCAGTGTCATTCGCTTCAAACGCCATCGCGTTATCCACTCAGCTACTAGGTCCTGATAGCCACTTGCTTGTGCAATGGAGTGAATTTAAATAGTACTGGGTTTAAGTCTCAGAGTGAACGACAACAAGTCTGAGATGCGGGTACATCCGGCTGACGAGTCTCAAATAGGATGAAACGTGCGTCAAACTGGATTCCACTGCTAGCCACTATCCATCATTGCTTACTATAACTGATTCGAGTTTAAAATGCAAAATAGTTAAATAAAAGTTCAGAAAAACAAAAAAAACAAAAAACACGAACACGGAAACATACCCATTAAGGACACACTTCCGCTTTGGGCCGAATCAATGTGTATATATAAATTTACTTGCTCATGTGGGGCACGTTACATAGACCGCACAAATCAATCATTGTCTAAACGCATCTCGGAACATTATCCGGCCTGGCTCTTAAGAGGAGATCGTAAAACAATTACGAGTTCGATGTAGGAACACATCGTTCCAGAGGATTCTTCTTCTTAAGTAATCTACCGAGTCAAAGGAACTAGATAGAAAAGGTGTTGAATCAATATTTTATACACTACTGAGGCATTGTCAATCCACAAACTCAAGCCTGAACTTTGCATGCAGAAACGATTTGTCCGATCTCTCATCCTTTCTTAGCCCTAATTCCCTTAATGGGTATGTTTCTGTGCTTTGGTTGTTGTTTTTCTGCACTTTTATTTAATTATTATCAATATTTCTTTTCTAAATTACGATTTTGCATTTTAAACTCTAATCAGTTTATTATTATGACCTTTGTTGTTTGTCGGTTTTCTTCATATGCTATATCAATTGGACTATTCATTTGACCCATCAATTCTGTTCTTCATTACCTCCCTTGATTAGTACGTTAAATTCATTTGTTATCTAGTCTCGAATCCATTTTTTTGTGATACAATCCTTTCTATCCTCCAATAGACACATACATTTTCCATATCTAACTATTTGTATATATGAATGTACAGCTTATGTAAATGATTTTATCGAGAATAGATAATTTTCTTCGCTGACTTTTCTTTTTCTTATCCATCACTGCCTATAAAAGCTTGTGAATTAAGGCAATGTCGAGGCATACGCACAGTATGCACATATGCCAATAACAGACTGATCAATTACAATGTCTTAAACAACAATAGGAAGATACAAGTAAAACAATATCAAATGTGTCTCTGTACACATCTTTTTCATTTTCAGGTTCGCCGTGCTGCAACTGTCAATAATCTTGATCCATTGCAGCATTGTGATCGAATGAGTCCTTTGTTTGAGAGAATTTACGAGGTCACTCCAAAAAAGTTCACAAGCCCGGAACAAATTACTTGTCAGCTGATTATCGACCTTCCCACCGAATCATCAACGAGTGGAATTCATTAACTCAACACGTGTTTGAAGCTCCATCCGTAGATTCTTTCAAAAGAAAGTTGGATCAACTGAGAGAATACCATTGCCAGGACTAACACAGGCCATCAAGCCTTCTGTCCTTTTCAAACTGAAACTGAAACTGAAGTGAAATAATATATTTGTAATATCTTAATAAGTAGAAAAATTAGATTTTCTGATGTTTCGTCACTCAGTGTAAACCACTTCTTCAGTATATAAATATAACCAAATTAAAATTAATCCAAGTTTAAATAGTACAACGGAACAACACAAGAATGTTATACGCGAGTAATCAAAATATCAGGTCTGAATACATCAATCTCTTGTTATTTCGGTCAAGGTGATTCATAAACGACATGTATGTTAATGTGTGTGTGTATGTATGTGTGCACTGTTTAAGGATGAAAAATTGTGTGACCTTTATGGTGACAAAGGATAGAGCTTAATTTGTAAGATAATAGTGTGAATTGTAAATAATATCAGGCTAAATAGCTAGGATAGATAGTTCAAGCAGGATGTATGGTTAGGTCTTTTTTTCTATTGAGAGAAGTAGGATTAAGCATTATATGGAACACTTCAGCTAATGCACCTTTCTATGTAATTGGAAAAGCCGTTTTGTAATATTTTGATAATTTTGAAATCCATTTTGGTGGTCTATAACCAAAGATGGATAGCAGCTAACAGAGGAATCAACGATGCGCATTTCGTCCTATTTGGAACTCGTCAGCTGGATGTACCTGCATCTCAGACTTGTTGTCGTTCACTCTGGGACTCGAATCCAGTAGCGTTCGCTTCAAACACCATCGCGTTATCCACTCAGCTACTAAGTTCTGATAGTCAATTGATTATGCAATGGCGTGAAGCTTAATTCACTTAGT